GGGGAAAAGTCCCAGGCTGGACTCAGCCACAGATGGCAACTGGGTCCAGGAGCTGGATTCTGGAACCTGGTTCAGGAACACAGGGCTCAGGATCAAAGGCAGAGTGGATGGAGCAACCCTTGGATGCTGGGCACTGCAGGAGCAGCAAAAGAGGAAGGAGGAAGGGGCTTGACCCTCCTGATCCTTCAGCTCTATCCTGACTATGAGATGGGATGGAACACCCCACTGCTCAATTCAGGGTCACTCATCCTGTCTGCTCCTCCCTGCAGCTTTGGCCTGTACTTTCTGCCCCCCTCTGTGTGGTGCACAGGACTCAGCAGTGACCTTGGTCTGCACTCCAGCCTTGGTGGTGACTCTAAACAGGGAGTGTTATCACTGCTGGGAGCAGACACTGCCTGTGAGACTGTGCTGTGAGCTTCAGACAGGGCAGCTGCTCAGCAGAGCTTCAGCTGAAAAGCAAAATCACTGAACAGAATTAGCTCTGCTCTACCCCAAACCAGGACAAAAACACAAAGGCAAAGCTTTCAGAGAGGGCTGGGGATGCCTGGTGCCATAAATCTTGGCTCATAAATGGGTTTGAATCTTTAGAAACATCTCGAATTCTGCTCTTGGGGTGTTTGGCAGTGTGTCTGACACAACCCAGCATGGGGTGTGAGAGCTTCTTACCCTTCCTCTTCTTCTTGAACCTTAGCAAAAGCGCAAGGGAGTGGAAGGGTTGATAGACATAGAGAATCCCAATCGTGTGATTCAGACAACCAAAAAAGTCACTCAGCTGGACCTGGATGGACCCAAGGAACTCTCGCGACGAGAGCGGTGAGTCTTGTCCTGGGATTCCAGCCCTGCTGCTGGAGCTCTGGGAGGTGTTTCCCTGCTCTGTGTGGGGGGGTGTTTCAGGGAAGGCCTTTAAATGTCTTGCTGTCGAGAGCAGACCCCCAACTGCCAAGCAGGACTTGCTGTGGTTCAAAATGTCTTTCCTCACAAGCTTCACACAAGCTGTGTCCTCTGGCTGCCCTGGTGCAGGCAGCTGGGCCGGGTGCACCAGGAGAGTGAGGCCTGTTGCTGTGAAGCAGCTGTAGGCTGTTCCTTTCCTGAGGTTTTATGCCAAAAAATGAGACTTAACCAAACTGCATTAACCAGCAGTCCCCCTGTGGCCTGCTTTAACCTGCTGCAGAAGCTGCTCTGGGGACACGTGGTATTTTCATGGGGTCCTGGAGACATTTTTGTCTGGGCAGATGAATAAGATGAGAACCAAAGCTTCATCTTGTAGTTTCACTTATTAATGGGAAAGATTTAAGTTTGCTTCTTTGGGATGGATTGCTCTGGCAGAAGTTCATCTTGGAGGGTAAGGCTGGAAAAAACACATGGTGGTGCTGTGCAGTCTGGGGCTGATTCCTTTGACCTCATCACAAGTGTCCTTGTTGAGCTGAATGAAGGGAGAAATAAACTCTCCTCTCTTCAAAGCCACAACAGATAAAACCTGTGCTTGAAAACTGGTGACAGGACCCCCTAGACTCTGTGGGCAATCCCTCTGTGTCCTCCCAGCCAGAGAGCCTCCCCTCTCTGCCCGTTCCCACCAGCTCATTGGGGTGCTCTGGTGACTGGTGTCTTTCAACAGGGAGGAAATAGAGAAACAAAAGGCAAAAGAAAGATACATGAAGATGCACCTAGCTGGTAAAACAGAGCAGGCAAAGGCAGACCTCGCCCGGCTAGCCATCATTCGCAAGCAGAGGGAAGAAGCTGCCAGAAAGAAAGAAGAAGAAAGAAAAGGTTAGAGACTAATTAGTCGTGTCCTCTTAATTGCCTTCGCGATGGCTGCGCTGCCGAGAGGCCCAAGGTCTCCTGTGCTACGTGGTGATCCCCAGTTGCTTGAGGTCTTGCTGGGTGTCAGCACAACTCCCCTCACCAAAACCAGCTTGAGCTGTTTGATGCTCACAGAGCTCTTGTCTGTCTGAACAGGGGGCAGGGGGAGAGAAGGGAACTGCCCTGGGTGTCAGGGTTGTCCTCAGCCCCCCAGCCACGCTTTGGAGGGTTCCTGGTGCTGGGTGTGGTTTGTCATGCTGGGGATGTGCCCTGCCCAGGGAGTCTGCAGCACTCCTCTCTCACCTGGCCTTTCTCTTGAACCACAAGCCAGATGAGCTGCTCTTCTCAGTGGCTTCCACGGAGACATCTGTGCATCGGGGTCCTTTGCAGCCCCCCAGAGAGAGGGGAAGGGTTGAGGGGGCTGCTGCTCTTGGCTCTGGAGGGGCTCTGCCGGGGGTTGGCGGGGAGCGCTGGAATTTCCCTCATCCCCTGGCTGTGCTGGGAGGATTCCAGTCCCCAGGGCTTGTCAGGCCCTGCTGAAACCTCTGCCCTTGTCCTCCCCCAGCGAAGGACGAGGCGGCGATGGCGGGCAGGAGGATGCAGTCCCTCTCCCTCAACAAGTAAGCGCGGGACACGCGGGAGGAGGAGACGCCAGGGACCCGTGCCCGCTGCTGCCAGGACCTGTGTCGTGTTGCACGCCACCACGGGGTGCACCATGGCACCGACGTCCCCTTCACCTCCCAGAGACACTGGCCACGTGTTTGTCCTCATCCTGGCACGGATCTCCCTCTG